TATATATATTACATACATATGTATACCTAATGCCGAATTGTGCATGACTGTAAGTTACAATAGAATATATGCACGCACTGAAGAAAAGACAGAATATCATCAAAAGCCCATTAATTTTGTATTTTAAAAAAAGGCAGTTTTTTCTAAGTCGGGATGATGTCGCGTTAATCTAGCTACCAACTCCTGTTTTAGTTTCTTCTAACAAAATGTATATGCATATGTAATTTAAATATCTGTACATACATACATACATATTTACTTTACATATGTATTTAAAACAGTCGATAATTGTGCATGGCTGCCAGTTACAATAAGATACACACATACATACATGTATGTATGTTTGTATGCATGCACTGTTAATAGACACTATCGCTAGATATGTACATATGTATGTATGTTACATATTCAACATGTTAATACATTAACAGTTGGATTGAAATCACAAGAAAAAGAAAAGACAATAAATTATTCATTCAATTATGCTTATACGAATCAGGCACTAATAGGACAGATTATTCCTAGTCGATCGCGCCGATTTTACGCTAATCTAACTACTAACTTTGACTTAACGTTTTCTTTCTTTTATTCAAAAGGTATATAATATATACATACATACATATGAACATATGTATGTAATGATTTCTAATTTAAATATATGTACATACATATATATACATTTGTGCATGTATGTACATTATTTAAAATTTATTCGCAAAATAATCTAATTCTGGATGCCTTAACTGTCATAGATGCTGCAAAGCATCAATAGATATCCTCCAGAATTTCAAAGTAACTAATTAATCTTAAAAATGCTGAATAATCATTCAAGCTACATACATATGTATGTATGTATAATGGTTCGTACTGTAAATAACATTAAAATTCGCCATGTTAACAGATGACCGAAGAGACTTCGTCGAAAGACTAACCGAAGCTCAAGTGTTCTTCATTTGCAAATTTGAAATTTCTTTCATTTGTACTCAGACCTCTGGAGTGTAAGGATGAATAATTTACCAGTTAACTTGGCACATTCACGTGGACGTGGACGTGGTAYTAACCGCAATGAAGATTTGAATCGTGGACCGGCGCCCATGTTGGTATGTGGTATATATAAAAAAATTAATACAACTTAGATTGAATTGAAATTATATTTTGAAGTTATTTCTGTGTTTGATTTCACTATAAAAATTTTAATTCACGTATTTAATGTATATTTCTATGTAAATGCAAGTTTTTAAATTCTTTCTTCATTCGGTGGAATACATATATATATGTATGTATATAATATTTTTTTTACGGAAATTCAAGGTTTGATTTTTGAGTGCAACTGTGTTAGTGTAATCAATTCGCTTGCATAGGCCATTTCCGTACAGCTTCTGTAGCAGTTAATGTGTATTAGTGTGTGTGTGTGTATGTAAGTGTGTGTATTCGTTCATAATGAATTTAGAAGGGGTGATGAAAAAGAATGTGCAATACGCGAAGTCTTAGAAAACGACGTCAAAATACAACGGAATTTTGCTGCTTTGTTTTTATGTGTGTGTGGGTATTCACTCTTATGCGCGCGTCGCTTACGATTTTTGGTTTTATAGCTTTTTATACCCTGAACCCATTTTCAATGGGTATAATGGTTTTGTTGAAATGTATGTAACAGGGAGAAGGAGGCGTGGCAGACCCCACAAAGTATATATATTCTTGATCAAGGTGACGAGCTGAGTTGATATGGCCCTGTCCGTCCGTCTGTCCGTATGTATGAGCGCGTCGATTTCAGAAGATATAAGAGCAAGAGACTAAATTTTTTTTAAATGTCTAATTACAGCGCGAATATCAAGTTTATCATTAAAAATCGATAACTCATCCCGATCTTTTTTTATCGATAAAAACCCTTATCGAAAACCAGTTATAAAATTATATCTTCTACACCTTTATTGCTAGAGTCTCCAAATTTTTAATGTATGCTTATATGCAATTTATACAATTTCGGTTTTTGTTAAAATTTACCCCCCACCCTTAAATTCACCCCCTCACCCTCACTTTTGTAAAAAGCGTATTTCAAATACTAGAGACTTGTGCTTTGGCAATTACATGCATATCCATGTTATAATCATAATCTGAAAGTTTCATGAAGATCGTACGTCCATAAAAAAAGTTATTAAACAATTAAGTTCTCATAGTAAGCGCACACTGCAGCCCATGCGTGTTTATGCGTGGGTGCTTNATATAAGTTTTGTTAAATGGCTGGCGGACAGAAGAAGGCGTGGAAGGCCCCATGAAGTATATAAATATGTATATTCTTGATCAAAGCGGCGAGCTGAATCGATTTCATGTCCGTCTGCCTGTGCAATTGCACTAGCGGATTGAATTTGTTTCCAAAAATCGAAAATCGAAAAGCTTTAGAGCTAGAGTCCAGGGCTGCGAGTCTAGCCTATTTCAGGCTAGGTCTAGCCTATTTGCAATTCAGGTTAGCTTCTTTAAGTGACATCAATATAATATTTTATAATCAAATCGTTTTTCGCGGCATACAACTGCAAATACCAATATCATTGGAACTTGTTATTGTCGTTTGTTTGGTGTGTCTAATATTTTATCCAACAGAATTGGCAAAAAAAAAGTTTTAAATTACTAGACACCTGTGCTTTGGCCAATAAACGAACTTTAGTGTCTACATAAAAAAAGTTTTTAAGCAGTTAATATTCCATGTTCGAATGTATTTGTGAATGAATGTGAATGCGCTGTTTCTTGTGTAAGTAAAAAAAAGCGAAGAATAATTGAAGTTGGGGGGTTCAAGGGGTTTATTAGGCGAACAGTGTCGACTTAATTGTTATTCAAGTATATATGAAATATGAACTATCTGAATTTCATTAGGGTCAACCAGTGGAACAACCATTGGGCACCACGTCCGAATCGAGTGGTCAGCAGGATGACATCCGTAAAGCAAATCTTTGCTCAGAAGGGGCCGAGGGTAAAGTCATCTAGTTGAGATATTGAACATACATGCAAATTGACTAACTTTTGATAAAGCAGGTGATGCTCGTGGCTCGCTTCGGGGCCGTCGCATACTATCAGACGTGGTTCACTCCCGACCAACTGGCCTGGTCACCAAAGTTGGCTCTACAGGTCGCAAAATCACTGTGCAAACCAATTACTTTAAGGTGAAGAAGCCACCTAACTGGACCATCTATCAATATCGTGTTGACTTTGTCCCAGACGTGGACAATACCAGACTGCGTCGTGGTCTGTTGAGTGAGCATCGTCAGCTTCTTGGCGGCTACATATTCGACGGGACAGTCTTGTTTTGCATAACCCAGTTCAAGCAAATTCCCAACTCACCTTATGTATTGGAGCTGCTGACTAAAAATCGTGGTGGTGAAAATATACTTATCAAGATCAAGCATGTGGGCACCGTGGAATCAGCAGACAATCAGCAATTTCAAGTGCTTAATCTGATTCTAAGACGTGCCTTGGAGGGTCTTCAGCTACAGCTGGTATCACGTAACTTTTTTGATCCCCAAGCAAAGGTAAAACTTCGTTAACTATATATGTGCACATAAATTTGTGTGAGAAATTTTTCTACACAATTTTACCCTTATCTAATATAATCTGTAATATAAATAGTCTGAACATTAGTTATTAACATTTTAACATTATTATTAAGAAGCTGAGAAATCACGGTTTAATTGTCGTCTGTCCATGCTGCAGGCCAAGCGCAGCCGCTGCGGTATTTCGTATTTCTTGTGTTTTCATAGAATCATTCAATTTTTCAAATGTCCTGGTTAGGGTGATCTAGTCGAGCGACCTCGACTAGGGCACTCTACTTGACATAGTGGTGTACTCTATTATAATCTGAACTCTATCTTTAATGCTGCGTGCAAAAGATTGTCTTGGATAGATTCCGTGTCGAGCTGTGGCCCGGCTATACAACTTCCATTCGCCAACACGAATCGGACATTCTGTTGTGCACTGAGATCGCCCACAAGGTGATGAGAACTGATAGCTTGTATCACGTTCTATCGAAAGTTATTCGCGAAAGCGACGACTATCAAGCGGCCTTCAAGCGTGAAGTGATTGGTAAATTATATTCAACTATATGCTATCTAAGAATATTGGTTGTAATAATTAATAATTTTGCAACAGGTGTGATTGTTTTGACTGATTACAACAATAAAACATATCGCGTGGATGATGTGGATTTTCAAGCCTCGCCCATGTCCACATTCAATAGCAAGGATGGAGACATTACCTATGTGGAATACTACAAGAAGGTAAGTAGAACTTTATTATACTGCAAATAATAAACATATCGTTTTGTTTTTGTTTTTGATTATTTCTATATAGCGCTATAACATCACAATTCGCGATTATAAGCAACCGCTTCTGGTGTCTCATCCCACCCAGAAGAACATTCGTGGTGGTATTAACCAATTGATCATGTTGATACCGGAACTGGCACGCGCTACAGGCCTGACTGATGAGATGCGCTCAAACTTTCAGTAATTCAGTAATGTTGTGTGTAATTACAACATTCTAAATCGTATTATTTCTAGATTAATGAAAGCCATGGGAGAGCATACGCGTCTCATGCCCAATCGTCGCATAGATCGCTTGCGTGTCTTTAACCAACGCTTGCAAGAGTCCCAGCAGAGCGTCGAGGTGCTGAAGTCCTGGAACATTGAGTTGGACAAGTCTTTGGTCGAGATACCCGGACGCGTGTTGCCCTCAGAGAAAATTGTGTTTGGCAATCAGAAGCGCTTTTTGTGCGATGCTCGCGCTGATTGGACATTTGAGTTTCGCAGTAACTCTATGTTCACTCATATAGATATCAAGCGCTGGTATGTAATCACGCCTCGTCGTAGCCTCCGGGAGACTCAGGAGTTTGTAAAATTGTGCATCCGTGCAGCGTCCGGCATGAAAATGCACATTTCCGAGCCAAGATAGTACGTAACCAACCCAAGCTAAATAAGTAAAGTCAAGTGAATTAATTTGTACCTATTTCACAGCGATGAAATGCCAGACGATCGTAGTGGCAACTATTCGCAGGCGATTGACAACGCCGTCGCTCGGGATCCACAGATTATTATGTTGGTTCTGAAGACCAACAACGAGGAGAAGTAAGCTTTTAGCCGTAAAACAGTAAAACAGGAAATACTAACTAATCGTGTGCATGTATGGGTAAACAGATATAGCTGCATCAAGAAGCGTACTTGTGTCGATCGTCCGGTGCCCTCGCAAGTGGTCACACTTCGCACGATTGCTCCACGCCCCGAACGAGCAAGTGGTCTGATGTCGGTTGCAACGAAGGTTGTTATCCAAATGAATGCCAAGCTAATGGGCGCTCCGTGGATGATTGAACTGCCGCTTCGTGGCTTGATGACTGTTGGCTTCGATGTCTGCCACTCGTCGAAGAATAAGAACAAATCCTATGGTGCTCTGGTGGCCACAATGGACATGAAGTCATCTACTCGTTACTTTTCTTCGGTTAGCGAGCATATGAAGGGCCAGGAGCTGTCCGATCAAATGTCCTTGAAAATGACGTGTGCCCTAAAGGCATATCGCGAGCACCATGGCGCCCTACCAGAGCGCATATTATTCTACCGTGATGGCGTTGGCGATGGACAGTTGTACCAAGTGGTTAACACGGAGGTAAAGTTTTTAAAAAATCAGCTCGATCAGATCTACAAATCCGCTGGAAAGGAAGAAGGTTGTCGCATGGCTTTTATTGTCGTCACTAAGCGTATCAATACACGCTACTTTGTCAATATGCGTAATCCGGAACCGGGGACAGTAATAGACGATATTATAACTCTGCCTGAACGTTATGATTTCTTCTTGGTGTCGCAGGCAGTGCACCAGGGCACAGTCTCTCCGACAAGCTATAATGTTATTCACGACAACATGGGATTGCAGGCGGACAAGCTGCAAATGCTGTCATATAAGATGACCCACATATACTACAACTGGTCGGGCACCTGTCGTGTACCGGCCGTCTGTCAATATGCTCATAAGCTGGCTTTTCTAGTTGCCGAAAGTATTCATCGTTCTCCCTCGTCTGGCTTGGAGAATCAACTATACTTTTTGTAATAATAATGCTCTGACTAACAATATATACTTTAAACATCTAATAGAAGACTGTCCCGGAGATGACATGTGGAACTATACTCAGMTTTAGTTTCTACTACATATATTTATTTATTTCATGTGAAATAGTTGACAATTAAAATTCGAACGAAATTGGAAAGACCGGAAAATTGTTGAGTACAATTGGATGAACACTTCACATTGTCGACCTATTCCCTTGGASAATTTATTTTATTTTATTTGTATTGAAATGGTTGTATATCTAAATAAACTTGAATTCCAATATGCCTGTCATCGTAAATTATTGTAGTCTACTTCTGTGCAGCTCGGAGACAAACATTGTCAACACTCAAGTCTTTTAAATAAATTATTTCAACTACAAAATGTAGGTTGTAAAGTTTACATCAGCGCTTTCATTTATTAATTAAAACTTCCAATTGAAGCACAATGCGGATTTCATTAGGACTCTACTTTCACAACGGTCGTCTTCTCCGACACGTATAGACCGTCCAAGAACTTACGAATATCCTTGTTTTTAACGGTGGTCGATTGTTGGATGAGTGCCGCGGAGCCGGAGACAGCCTCGATGTCGTTGCCTTCAACGATGAGCTCATCCTTTTGGGCCGTTGAGTTGACAACCGTCACGCCGGGAGCCATCACGACACGACGAATGTACTTCTCACCCAAGAAGTTACGGATCTCAATAACCGTGTTCTGCTCGGAGGTAACGCAGTTAATGGGGAAATGAGCGTACACAGCACGCATTTTGTACTGGAAGCCGAATGTCACTCCTAAAATTCAGAATATAACAAGTTACAAATTGCTATCCAACCATTCCCATTAATATTCGCTTACCCTTGATCATGTTCTCAATGTGGCTGCACACTGTACGCACGGCAGCGAGCTCCTTCTTTGTGCCGAACCATTTCTCGACTTTCAGGGTGCGTTTGTCCGACATGTACATGTCCAGAGCCAGATGCTTGAAGCTACGCTTCAGGGTGCCTCTGGCGCCGGTGATTGTGACCACGCGCGCCTTGACGGAGGCTTTGATATCCTTGGGGATCTTGACACACTGATTCGAGTTGATCGTTCGCATTTTGGCGACACTGCAAAATGGTAAACAAATATTTGAATGAGAAACAGTTGTACGTGTAAATAAGTGCATACATTTATAGTAATCTCAGTGAAAAGAGATTTGTATCACAAGTTTGCATATGCACACACTCCTACTTGTGCTACGCGTAAACAAAACATTTCAATTAGCTAGGTTTCATTATAAATTTACAAATTTATATGTGGTTTATTATGTATTGCATTTGTGGTCAAATATATACATATTTAACAAACTAATTCATTTGTCACTCGTTTAACACACTTAGCGATTGAGTAAGCATATCCATTTTGTTGATGTTTTAAAATTCATTTTGTACACAATTTATTAAGAAACTTACACACTGCAGACCGACCGGAAAGAGGCTGGAAAAAGAAAGGAAATATTTGACGTTTCATTTAGGGTTGCCGTATCGGAAAAATAATAAGGGACATTTTGAGGGAAATTATTTGATGCTGCCAACCCAATTGAATTACGATGTTGACATGAACAGCTGATATGTAAACTTTCTGTATTAGCACTGCTATTTCAAATGTTAACAGTTGTTGATATTTTATGTTTTGCAACTAGCGACATTTATAGGACATATAAAGCGCCATTTGTATAGGAATTTAGGGGAAATAAGGCATTATTTTTCTATAATGTTGATATCTTAAGCAAATTAACTGCGGCTGCCGAAATTATAACAGAATTTAGTAGCGTGCTGTTAATAACATATTTTGTAACATGTTAACTTAACAGCGGAATGAGAAAAAAATTAATGGCGGGAGCTAACTGGCGTGGGCAAATCACTCTGTTTTTCGACCGGCGCTAGATTGCAAAATTTTAACTGGCCAAACTGTTAGGCGAAGAGAATATACATTTGATTACATTTAAATAATTTAGTTAGTGTACGTAAACGGATTAACAAATATGAACAACACAGCATCGCCACCAGATGTCCTACAGACGGCAGGCAATATGCTTGAATGCTATGACTTTCAAGACAGACATAAGCCGGAACTTTTGGAGGTAAATTCTAGCCAAATGTAAAGAAATGGCTTTGTTTAGTGGCACAATCTAAAACTAAAACAAAACTAAATAGTTGACAGGCATCAGCCAGCATGGAAGAGCAACAATGAGCGGCCTCAACGATTATGACTACCAAACGCTGGGACAACTCACCTCCGGCGACACACATAACCTACAACAACTGCGAACTCTCACAAAATGCGGTATACCCAATGAGGTCCTGGAGCACTTTAAGCGTAAATAGTTTCTGCCGTGCAATCATCAGTTAAGATCTAATGCTAATCTTCATTTAGATATAAAATGCCACTGCATAATGGGTTTGTTTCCGGCCATTGGACGCGCCTGGTTGACAATCGATTCGGATATATATATATGGACATATGAGGAGACTCGAGACGTGGCCTATTACGATGGCCTAAGCCATTTAATTCTGAGCGTTGGCTTGATAAAGCCAAAGGCGGGCGTTTTAATCAATGACGTCAAGTATCTGCTATTGCTGACGACGCCCATTGAGGTGATTGTCTTGGGTGTTACATTCGAAGAGCAAAGGGATTCTAGAGGATGCACAGTAAAAAGTAGTCGAATGCAGCTATTGAATAAGCCGCTCTTCGTTCTTAGTACCGATAATGTTACCATAAATGCTATCGAGGGCACAAAGGACGGACGCATCTTCTTGGGCGGTCGGGATGGGTGTCTTTACGAAATTGATTATCATTCGGAATCGAGTTGGTTTGGCAAGCGCTGTAAGAAGATAAACCATTCTCAGGGACTGGTCTCCTACATAGTGCCAAGTTTTCTAAAGGTGTTCTCGGTAAGTAATGAGAACTCCTAATGGAATTGATCACTGATAATTTGCCTTACAGGAGGTTGATCCTATTGAGAAAATTGTGATTGACAATCGGCGTAGTTTGCTTTATGTTCTAACTGAAAAGAGTTCCATCGAAGCTTGGCACATTGGCACGAACTTTACGTCCATGCGAAGGCTGGGCAAAATTACACAAAATGATATAGCCTGCCAGGCGGTTAACTTGATCAAGTAAGTGGGCAGACTGTAGAAGTTTAGAAGAATACTAATTATAATTTATAATTTACAGAACGGTTGATCCATCCATATTCAAGAGTGTAAAAGCCATTTGTCCGCTCAGTCCAGACAGCTCCAATTTCCTGCACCTTGTTGCTGTCACGCAATGCGGTGTTCGTCTCTATTTCTCTACCTCGCGCCTAAATGTACAGCAGCAGAATTTGAACTATGTGCCGGACAGCTATGGCATGGGCAATAATCCAAATAATCAATTACCAATGACGCAAGGAGATATGGAGACATCGAGAGGAATTTATCTACTGCATGTTCGGCTGCCACCTGGTTACACGCCGAATGCAACAACCAATAAGCCGAAGCAAGTTCATGCTGCATATTACAGCGAGGGCACAATGTTAATGGTCACCACTCAGCAGCAGGAACAGGACTTACTCTGGTCCATTAGCTCTTCGCCGTTTTGTAATTTTTCATACCTCGTTGAGTCGACAGCATTGGAGAATCTGGATGGCATCGTCTGGAGCATCTCCGATGTCACGGATGCGATTCTGGACAACACGAGCTCGTTACTGCATAATGCGCGCACATCGCGTAAAGTCATTTTGCTCACCAATCAAGGTACACACATTGTGGAGTTGATGAAGTCTGCTCATATTCTTCAGCAGTTGCTGATATCCTGCAAGGGACCCCACAATGAGGCTGTGAAAATGTTCTTTCAGACGCAGAATGAGCGTGAGGCTTGCTTTACTGCGTTGCTGTTGGCCACCTCGGATACGTTAAATGGCAGCGATATTGCCCTATGGGCCACTCAAGCATTTATGCTGTACGGCGGAGAGCCTTGCTATCAACACTATCTAAATTCGACCAATCGCAATTTGCACAATAGCACCATCAGCACAAACCCTGGCCTGACTGGCAGAGATCGAATGCCGCCGATGTTCATGTCCACACCTATGCCAAATGCTCCGAATATGGGCGCAATGACTAGTCAATACAATCAGGCAATAAGTCCTAGTAAGTGTCCATTATAAACATAATCTATGATTTGCTGTGCGTATATGTGGGAGCCATTTAGATAACTTTTTGATTCTAAAACAATATCGGCACTTTTATTTACAGTTTCGGCTGCACAAACTACACATCAGCAGCAACAGCACTTCACACAAAAGCAACAACAGCACTCGATGCCCAGCAATGAGAACTCTCCAATTATATATTCAGCGAAGCATGATGGTCTCTTTTTATTTGTGTCGCGCATGCTGCGATCCATTTGGCAGTTACATTGTGTTGATGAGAAAATGTGCTCGAAGATAAACTTATCCGATTGCTCGATGCTATTATCCGAGCTGCGTTCGTTACGCTCGTTTTTGGACAAGCACTCGGTCCATGATCTTTCAGGTAAACTAATGGCTCAACTTTGATTCGAACTAATGAATGCCTATAATAGAAAACTATTATTATGTCTAGTAACAAGACGAATGCCGTATGACAGTCATTTGGGCAGATCGAGTGCTGCCCTACTGAACAGTACCCAAATGCCACTCAATGAACACCGGAACATTGTGGAGCAGGCACAGATTGAGGAGAAGCGTTCATTGTCCGCTCTAAATCAGTTTATCAGTAAGTTACGATACCAGCTTCGATAAAATAGTTCTAATCTTCGTTATAATCCTTTGTAGAACATGCGTGTGAGGTAATGTCGCTGTGGAGCATCCTCATTGACCATCAATTTCAATTGCTTTGCCAACAATTGTCGCCGGAGCATCAGAAAATGTTAAGATGTTGCACATTCCGGGATCTGCTGATAGCACGCTCTGAGGTGTGCGCGTTTCTGATCATTGCGCTCATCAATCTATACCTGAAGGATAAAGCTGATGTTGCAGAGGTGTCCAGCAGCTTGCGTAAACTCTGCCCGAATCTCTACAGATACGAGGATGAGGTGACCTATAAAGCCACTGAAATACTGATGAGTGCCAAGAGCTGTAAGTCAGCAGCGGACAAGCAACAAAAACTGGCCATCACACTGCGAATGTGCTTGGAGGCGGCGCCAACGCTGCCACTGCACAGCATTTGCCAGCAATTCATTTCGGTTGATTTCTTTGAGGGAGTTGTTGAGCTAGCTGCCACGTGTGCTTCGAAAACGGATCCAGAGGAGATCGGTATTCATTATTACAATAACAATGAGCCGGCTGAGGATCACGAGGGCTACGCTTGTTTTGTGACACGGTAAACTAGGATTAGCTATATATGCTAAGCTTCAGTCGAACTAAGCCACATTTTACGTTTCTTGCAGTATGAACTATTACAAGGAGGTGCAGAATATGCTTGATTATGTCTACAACACGGTTCGTAACAGCAAGTGCGATCAGGATCAGAGTCGACTCTTTCAGCTAAATTACGATGGAACGGAGGATCAAAATGATATGGAAAACAGATCAAAGCAAATTATTAAAAAGATCACAAACCAGGCACTGCGAAAGAAAGATCCACTACTGCATGTCGCGATCTATGAGTGGTTGCTCACCCACGAAATGAACAGCGAATTATTGGATTTGACTGAGCCCTCGTTGGGCGAATTCTTACGGCGCAGTGTTGGTCGCAATCCAGAGAATGTCAAATTAATTGACTTACTCTGGAAGTATTACGAGAAGAATGGACACCATCATCAAGCAGCGAAAATTCTCGATAACCTGGCCATGACGAGGACTGAGAACATATCTTTGGATGTGCGTATTGACTATCTGGTGCGCGCTGTCATGTGTATGCGCAATGAGACCGTTGGCTCATCCGTCACCAATGGCATATTCCTAAAGGAGTTGGAGGATAAGGTCAGCAAGCTCTATTTCACGTGCATGAGCCTATTAATATTTATATTCTGTATCTGTGTATCTAGTTGGAAATTGCTCGCGTTCAAAAGTCTGTGCTTGCAGCGATGTCCTTGCTTTTACCTACAAATGAAGCTGCCAGACAGGCTGTGAAGGACTTGAATATTGCACTCTACGATATCACACAATTGTATCAGAACTTCGCTGAGCCATTCAATCTGTGGGAGTGCCAGTTGTCCATTCTCAATTGCTCCAATCACAATGATCCCTTGTTGATAGAGTCCGTATGGGGAAATATAATCAATAGCGCCGTCGAGGGTCCCGGCACAGCACAGGAACGCAGTGTAAAGCTCTTTACAAAAATTGAACTATTGGCTCGAGAGTTTTGTGAATCCGGGCCGTGTTTTCCATTTGCTTTCCTCATCAGGGAGCTAGAGATAAAAGCCTGCCAACTGCATTTGCCTGAGGGAACGGTGCCGGAAAAGCTATTCGCCATGAAGCTGGACATTGAATTACTCCTAGAATATTACTCCAGGTAAGGGGATGATGGATGATGCAATTGATGCACAGCTTTACTTATGTGTTACTTTCTCTAGAATGATTTCAATGAATGAGCGCATTTGGGCGAACGAAGGCAACGAGTGGCACTTGATACAGTCGGCTATACGCGTCGTTACACTGCTGGCAGATAATGCCCAATCTATTTGGTACCGCTCCAAGTAAGTTTCATTGTACAAACGGCTTAGTTGAATAATTAATATTAAGACTGTTTAATTCAGGCGACGGATATTGGGCAAGGCACAGGACATAGTCGCGGCTTGCTTGAACATCTGTTATCAGAAGCCGGACACCAATCGCCTGCAGCACTCTCTCAAGGAGCTTCAATGCCGTTTGCAACGGCTACTAGGTTAATGTCTCTGACAGTAGTTATTTTCAAATGGTATATATTCTTTAGAGCAAAACAATAATGGTATAGCTGTTAAGTTTGACTGAGGTATAAAACTTTGTACGCGTTATTTATTTACTGTCTAACACACAAATTGAGCTACGAAACTATGTTGTGTCCATCATCTTAAGGTGAGCTTCCGTAAGTATGCATTTGGTCATGTGGCATGAACAGGGAACGGGATGTTCTTCTACATTCGGGTCGAGCAGCTCGACTTCCAAATTGTACTTTCTCGCATCATTTGCACTGCGTTTCATTAGGATCTGAAAAGCCACCGGAGATTTCTCATCTAGAGTTTCACAATTTTCTTCTGGGAGTACTACAACGCATTGCTTCCAGTGGGTCTCGGGGGCCAAAGGCGATGTGCTAAGCACAACAGATTCTTCGCCGGGGAATTGCACTTCGAACCATATGCAGAAGCCCTGATGCTTGCCGGCAATTTGTGTGGCTACGACATCCTTGAAGCGTATTTCGTTCAGCTCCTGGGTACTAACATCGAGTAAACTCATCCAATGAAAGACAATGCCTTCGTGGAGCAAATCGTTTGGCGTTAGTTGTGTAATTTCTGGTCTAGTTGATTTTTGTAAACGCAATTTGCTAGCGAACTTTCCCATGTTGACTCCATCAACATTTTGCCAATAATCATACAGGGATGGGACAGAGCACGGAGCCACATATATTGTGCACTCACTGGGGAACAAAAGTCCATTTGGCTTTAGGAAATTATCCCTGGCAAAGAGCACCGAGTCCAACATGCCTTCATGCAATAGATAAAATCCCATCCACTCTGAGATAATAATGTCCACTTTTTCGGCCGAAGAGGGCAGCACGAAGTCCTCGATCTGGGAATGAATAACTTTGACAATGTTGGTAAGGCCATTGTCTTCAATAAGATCTAATGCAACTTTAGTTGCAAGATTGGAGGCTTCAATAGCATAAACCAATCGGGCACCAGCTTGCGCACAGAACGCAGAAAGTATCCCCGTACCAGCCCCTACATCCATCACAACTTTATCCTTAAACAATTCCTTATTTTTCATAATAGCATTATAATAAGCTTCTTGTCGTGGTCGATCTCTTAGCATGAGCTCGTGCACCTGCAAGGATGTTACTCTGTTGTAATAAATATGTATGAACAACGTTGGTAAATCAGAGTGATTACCTCTAAATTTTCATATTCCGTAAAATACGTATTCATTATAGGCGTAATTATTTTTTCCAAAATAAACTTGAATAAATAAACTACAAACAGATCTTTATAGGTTAAAAAGAATGGTCAACAGAACTGTTATTTAACATAGCTAACTATTTAACATATTGAGATAGGCTCAGCTGTTTATTAACAGTGACCAAAAACATAAGCGGTAACTGCCAAATATAAGATTTTGTTTTTATCATACAACTATAAGGACCTATGCGGATATTATTCGATGACTAGTTTTGTAAATTCACAAGTAATTTACTAACAATAATTGTGCGCTGTTAATAACATAAAATTCGGAGGTGTCATATGTTTCAAAAACAAGGAACTAAATGAACGAACTGGTTATGAGAACTTATTTCTTTAGTCGGCCACGTAAAATCTATAGTAAACAACAGTTTGGCCCTAATAATTAGAAGTTTTATTTCTTATGTCTACATTCAAAAATAAGTATTCCAAATGGACATGAGTAAATTAGATATAAGCCAAATGATCCGCAATTTGGATATAAGTACAACTGAAAAAGTGGATGAAAGCCTCCAACGTATTGCAGAAAAAGAAGTAAGTATAATTTCGGGTTTTAATGTTGACAGTTAATAAGGGAAGAATTTTTGTAGGCAGATGTAAATGCCAAACTCGAAGCTGCATTGTCCAAGCAATGTCAGATTGAGGCAAAATTAAGCGGCATCGGCCGAGCTATGGCCACCTTACTTACCGTTGAGAGCGATTCCAACAAGCTTAACATGCAAATTGTAAACACAGCAAAGCTGGCTGAGTCCGTTAGTGCTAAAGTGCGTCGGTTGGATTTAGCGAGATGTAGGGCCTCCGAGTGCCAGCAACGGGTACACGATCTGATCGACCTGCAGCTGTGTAGCCAGGGCGTAGTGAAGGCTATCAGCGAAGAGGATTATGAAAAGGGAGCGGGTCATATCGCTCGCTTTCTGGCAATGGATCAACAGCTTTTGCAACGCACAGCGGATGATGTTCAGGGTTCTATTACGTCAGTGAGCGATGCTGTGCACACACTCGAGGAGGCCACTGAAAAGATCAGAGAATTGATTTCCAAGCGCTTTGATGAGGCTGTCCAACAAGACGATTTGGCGTCTGTGGAAAGATTCTTCAAGATATTTCCATTGGTTGGTTGCCACAAGATCGGCATTGAGAAATTCTGTGGGTACATTTGCCAAAAGCTGTCGGCCAAGGCCCAAAAAGAGCTGCGTAATGCACAAGATATTGCAAAAGCTGAGCGTCGTCAACATTTGGCCTATGCCGATCGCTTAACTTCGATTTTGGAGAACTTCGCACGCGTTGTTGAAGTCAATCAGCCGATTATAGAAGCATTTTATGGCCAAGAGTAAGTTCGCAAATGTCGTAAACTACGAGATAAAATTATCAAATTGTGTTTGTCGTATTTAGATCAACTTCTTTGGTTAACATGATGACCATCTTGCAAAGAGAATGTGATCTTGAAGTTAAGAATTTGCTGTTGGAATTCAACAAAAATCGCCAAATTCAATATCGCATTAAGCAGGTGAACGACAGCTCTCAGCGCCCAAACAGCTCGAGTATGGCTAACAGTAGTATGCAGTCCTTGGGACACTACAGAAAACCTTCGGGCGGTTCTATAGATAAATTGAACCCAAAGGATATAGATGCTATCATAGCCGAAATTACAGTGATGCACTCAAGAATAGAGTTATACTTTAGATTTATGCGTCGTCGCTTGCAGGTAATATTTATATAGATATGCTTTACATATCAGTGAAAGTTTAATTTAAACATTCCATCGGCAGGCCAATGCAGAAACATGTTTACAAGATAAGGATGCACAAAACATGGTACTAAAGGAATATGAAAGGGTTGTGAAGCATTGTGACTTAAGTCGCCACATGCAAGAAATTCTTAGCACTTACTTGCTATTTGAAAGGTACCCATTTGAATATCTAGCTGTGCCTTTACTTTGTAATACTTTGTATTTTACTAGGTATTTTATGGAAGAAAGCGTGATGAAAGCAATTGGATTGGACACTTATGAAGTCGGCCAGCAATGCTCGTCTATGGTTGATGACGTCTTCTTCATATTGCGTAAATCTATACGACGCGCTTTGACAACACAGTCTATCAATGGCACCTGTGCTGTAATCAACAATGTTGCATCGTGCCTTGATGGTGACTTTGTGTCTGCTTTAAAGGCTCCTTTAAAAAATGGGTATCCCTCGGGCTATATTGATTTGGCGCAGGCTTACAATGCAATACAGACGAGCTTGCAGCAGGGCAAACTGCATTCGAGTGACGCCGATCGTGTTCGAACAAATTTCATAGTTCAGTTAAACAATGCTGATATGTCAACGGAATATATTGAAACGCTATGGCAGACAATGGAGCAGGAGATAGCCGGAACATTCCCTAATATATCACCTTTAGAGAGGCAGTTATTGGACAGCTGCTTGACTGAGCTGAAAGCCATTCGCGATGCTTTAAAGGCAACAGTTGACTTTGGCATACAGCAGCTTAGGTCAAGTGCGATAAGACCACGCCTAAATCCCTGGGTGGATGAATTCCTTAATTATAGCCATCATCTAACAGAGGTAACTATATACTAAAGCCTATGCCCTTATATTCTTACTAATTATTTGAGGAACTGTCCATATAGGAGGAACTGTCCGCTTACGAGGCTGGGGAAACATTTGTTCAGTATTTCATTGTACAATTAGATGGACTATTAAATTCATTTAAAAATGCATTAAGTCCACGTAATTATGACGCGCTCGTCAGTATTTTGGCTACTGAAGTGACCAACCGCTTGGAACGCGCAATCAAGAAAAGCACATTTAATCGGGTAATTTTGGGTAATACTATGTTTGAATGATATTATTAATCGTTTTAATTTGTAGCTCGGTGGACTTGTTCTCGACCAGGAAGTGCGAGCCCTAGGTACATATCTTACGGGCGCAACTTCCTGGTCAGTGCGCGATAAAATGACGCGTCTGTCACAAATCGCAACGCTTTTGAATTTGGATAAGGTTTCAGAGTTGGCTGAATATTGGAATCCTGAAAATAATAGCGACATGCCATCTTGGCGGCTGACACCAAATGAAGTGCGCACTATTCTGACTTTGAGGTAAAGTGAAATATTTTAAGACTTTCACATTACAGATATTTTATTTCTGTTTACTTTATAGAAGTGATTTCCGTATGGAGGACATTAAACGTTTGCAACTTTAAGTTAAAAGCGTTTCTTGATTTATTTATAGTGCTGCGACTTCATGTCTTTTTAAACTAAACCAACGATTGAAATCCAATCTTAATAAGAGCTGCGAAAGTGCACCAAAACTGGATGCGCTCTTAATGTTAACCAATAATTTTATTAATCCAGAGATGGCAACGTTAAATCTACAATATAAAGAAAAAAATATATAAATAAGTACATTAATGCTTAATTTTGCTCCACTTACCTATCCTCGAGCCTGTCGACATCATCTAAATTGTGTTCATTCACTACACTAAATTTCTCACATAAACTAAATATTTCGAGGATGGTTCCATAAACCGGATATTGGGAATGACGCGCTGGCTGTGAAGTATTTATCTTTTTATCCGTTTCATCTGTCAGCAGAAAGCATTGTGAAAGTACATTGGCAAGAAATACTGAATGAGCTCTTTGAATTTCTTCAAAATCGGCTTTACTGGCAATCACATTCATGAGCATACTGAACTGGCCTATAATTTTAATGTAATAATTGAATCAATAGAAATAGGTATATATGGATTGTTATTAGTCTTACATTCGAGTACATCAACCTGTATGTAATACTGTAAGTTGTCCAAAAAAAACATTAAATGATTCCGTAAACTAATAATCTTGATATCGACTGGATTCCCAGTTTTAGATGTCCATTTGTGACGAGCCCAAACAAGTTGAAGATCATACTGTATTTTTCGAACAGTTAATAGAAAACGAAAAACGGTATTGTAACGTTCTACGGTCGTTGGGGAAAACAAAAGGTTCAATGGCCATTTATATATGTATTTCAGATGAAGATTTTGAAACAATGCAAATTCACAACTCTCGTCTAAATCGATGGTTGTTTTCTGAACACTCAATGAAAAGTTCTCCAAATCATCAGCAGTTGCCATTACGTTTGCTGCAATCTATACAAAATAATAATTGTTTTACATATAGTTACATTAATTGAAAATAATAAAAATTTAGATATTCCTACCTCAAAAGCTTTGGTGTAGTTTTTGTTATTTAGTTCTGCAAAATTTTCTGAGCTTTCATATAATTGACGAAAGAATTCCAAATAAAATTCGCCTCGTCCCAACAGGTAAAAGTCTTTGATGAGACACAATTGACGCTCCAAATCATCTTCAATCACTGCTATTTCCGACAAACGTTGGCTAACGTATTTTTTGATTTGATTAATAGCTCTTTCCAATTCAAACACATCGATCTTATCATCCTGATTTAGATCTTCAATCAGATTACAAAACATTCCTTCCTTGCCATTCCAAAGCTCACCGATATCATCACAGAATGGTGCTTGCGATTTCGATATCCAAGAATCAGTTTTAATCTTGCGTCGATCTAATTTAAAAACGAGTACCGTCTGTCCGACGAATAATATCTTTTCAGCTAAAACGGCTGACACAAAACTTGGTAACTGACTAAATCTGATCTCATATTGCCATATCTCCTCCTCGCTCAATATGCTCTGCAAAGTACATTTTCCAAACATTATCAAAGATCTTATTTAAAATGGTTATTTTCTTACCGGCGGACTATTAGTGCTTGTGTAAGATTTATCACAGGAAGTCTTTGCAACGCCTTCGTTTGGTCTATAGTTTATAAAGAACTCTGCGTATTCATCATCAATAATGCCAAACAAGAGCCAGTGCGTCAGGTGCGACAAGAAAGCCAATTTTACGGGCCTCGAAACTCTAAAAAATAGCCATTAATTAATTTATTACAGTGTAGTTTGCTAAAACTTACTTGTTGATTATTTTCTTCAGACGAATATCTCCGTGATCATAAGAGACATGCAGATTTTCTAGCAGCTGACAGCCATTTAGTTTCTGAATTAATAAATATTTAGTGTATTCTATTCGCATTACGCTTACTATTAACTACGTACCTGTATTCTGGCATCGTTAATTAGTTTACGCAAAAAAATTATAATTGGTAGATGTTGTTCCAGAGAGTTGTAAATATAATTTAAAGAATGCGTTGTGTTTTGTTCGGTTATAGTTTCCAGTTCTGCTGTTTCTTTATAATAATCATCGAGAGCACTTTCGATGCCCTGGGCGAAATTCCTTAGGTAATAACCCGCTGAGTACTCTAAATTAAATAAGATATATTAAATCAAACCGTAAATAAAGTAAAGTAAGCGCTTTTCTTTACCATGCGCATCCGAAAAGTCCGAAATGTCGCGTTGACTGACGCCTCCAAAGAACTTAGCGAATCGTACAATTTCATTTAGGCTGCTTAAGATATCAATAATTTTCTCAAAAATGGCCCTCTCACAAGGATGCATGAATTCTTCAACAACATTTGTTGCCTAAAAATTAAATGGTTTATGAAAATAAACATATGCAAATTTTAAATTATCGTACTCACAAGAAAACTTTTAATGCCAATTCCCTTTCGGCTCAAGCTCATGCACGATAGTAAAATATCATGAATCATGTTTAATTGTTTGTATATAACGCACAGAAATTTGTTTTATATTATTAAAACTCCCGGTGTTATTTGGTATTGGTTTATTTTGCCTCTTGTGTGAATGACAATTGTGAAAAGAATGTATGCGGGTCATCGATGCAACCAACTATCGATTGGTTATAAAGAGATGCTATCGATTTCATTACATCAGAATGCATAACAGCTGTTGCTTTTTAAATTGGTTGGCTTAAGTAAAATAAATATAATTAGTAATTATTATAATTTTTTTAATGAATGCATTATATTTTATAGGGAGCGTATAACCAACAAATTTTGCAGAATTATATATATGTGTTATTTTTCATAAACCAAAATACAATTTTATTATATATAGCATATTCAAAGTTCGATGGCCTTCAATTAAGTAAATAATAAATTAATTGTGCCTGAGCATAAGTTTATTTGATTACATTTTAGGGTACAGAAGGCATATACATAAAAATTTGGTACACCTCGTCTTATCCCTATATATGTATATGTATACATGTGCATATAAATTATCCTTTCTGCTTTTATAGTTGTCAAATTTTATTGTCTTTCGGTGCGACACCCTGGCCATAGAGGCGCAATAAATAATGTTCAAGTGTCGTCCAACGGCTAGATAAGCTGCCCAAAAATGTTAACAAATATGTCTTTTATGGAGTGCTTTTATTTTGCACCTTTGTTGTCCACATTGAAGCTCAAGCTATGCCAAAGGACAAAACCAAACACCTCACTAACGTTTTCTCTGCGCCAAGTCTGTTGGCTGTTAGCAAAATCGCTGACATAGGAAATTTGTGGTAAAAAGAGAACAAGAGGCCGTCTCTATGGAATATGCATAAATATTCTTGTTGGTTTTATATGAACTTAATTAAATTCTTCGTTGCATATGTGAAGCGAATACAAAATATATGTATATACTCTAATGAAATGTATTAAATAAATTGATAAATTTACAATTTAAATAGATTTTTGACCGCATAAGGAATTGACCCCCAACCGAATAGATATAGACTCAGCCACAAAGAAACTTATTTAATTTCGAGCATAGCCACACTCTGTGTACTTTTTATTTTATTTTAATTACACTTTTGCTAAATAATTCAGGAACTTCAGCGAGCCCGTAAGTGCATTAGACTGCTCTCGCCGCTTCTGCCCGTAACTATTTGGACCCCTTTGGCTTATTTGCAATTAGGATGGGAGTTTTGCTGCAGACCAGCTGAATTTCGAATTTATTGCATTTTATTTAGTAACATGCATTTTTAATTTTACTGCCACGTTAATTAACTTTAATTTTGTTACTGCAGCAGCCATGGACGAGACCCCAATGCAAGTTCTTATACCAATAAAGTTTTCACTACTCGCAGAGTTTTCTAAAATGCAAAATGCAAAATGAAAATGCGCAACTCTGGACTTGGCCCCACGTTAAATGCGGGCGTAGAAAGTTATATTTCGCATGTGCATTATTTCTCGAGTTGATTAAGTTCTCAAACGAGTTAACCCTCTGCATTTTATGAAAAAACTTTCGAAAGAGAGTTAAACCCTTTATAGTCAATCTATTTAATTTAAAGAGTTTTTATTAAGCAATTTATATTGCTGGATGAAAATAATTCAAAATAATAAATATTAAATAATATATTCTGATTAATAATGGAATAATAATATTTGCCTGATTATTTGAAAAATATATGTGTATAAAAGCACCACGTCGAGTTGATTCAGGAAAATCCAGTTAAATTTGACAATATACATATGTATATATTAAAACGCAATATTTAAGCATTTTTCTAAGAAACATTTGTAAAATTTATTGATAATAATAATCGTATGTATAAGTATTGCACTTATAAGTATAATGTACTTTATATAAAATTATCTATTTCAATTTCTTTATATATTTATTTCATGTTTTGTTCATTCACTTTCGTCTTCAATAGGCAAATGTATACTGAAGTGCGGCACGAGTTTGATTCGTATTTGTTATAATTGTTTTGTTTTTGTTTCTGTTCTTAACTTTACGGGTTCTTAGACTCTTAAGTAGGTGACTGGAACCTGCTGTTAACGAATCTCCACTCTTCTTTTGGGATCCTCCTCAGTAATGCATATACTTATGTCTCAATATAGCTAAGTGTGAGTGTTAAGAAAACTTGAAATAGTATTGCATGTCTTTTCAGCTCTTATGTGTATACATAGTTTGATTAGTTTCAATTTGTTGTTGTTGATTTGTTTTAATTTTGGTTGATATATAGTATACATCTAATTTTCTAATACCAATAAAATTGACTATGAGGATAACATCTAAAGCAATTAAGGGATTACGTGCCATTGCATCTATGTATATGTCTATATATGTATATATGAATATAGGTTTGTGTGTATACCAATTTGAAAGGCACATTATGATCTTAAATATGATATTAAGTATATCTGCGAACAGTTTACATATATGTATATATGTATATGTGTATATTTGGTCAGTTTGGTTCATCAAAGATTGGTCATTGTTTATTGCACTGTTTTTGTTTGGTTCTTCATTTCATTCGTCTTGTGTTGTTTGGTGATACTTGAGAACTAAGGCATATTATAAATAGAACTACGACCGACTTAAAGAATCCATTTAATTTACAGCTTTCTCAGAGTTGAGCTCGCAGTCATCCCAATCGGTCAGCGCCCAGCTCGGCAGTTCAGTTTCGTACTCCCAGCCGGGACCCTAAATCGAAAAGCATTTTCTGTAGCTTCGGGATCTGATTATTAAGCTCTACAGACACATACCTTATACTTCCAGGCATGCAAATACATGACTAGATCCTTAGGCTTGGGGTCTCGATAGTGCACCTTGCACTCATAGCAATGCTTGTCAATGACCACTTTATCGGAGGCCAAGGCCTGGTCCGTGGGGACTTCATTTGGGACCGAAGACTCGGTGGCTGCATCTGCCTTAGCCGGGAGCACTGGACTGCTATTTGTTGAGTGCAGCTGCTTGAGGGCCTCTGCGCTTTGGTGATTCTCCGAGCATGGTGGCGTAGTCTCCCTTGAATTGACGCCCACGTCATCATCGCTGTGATGCACGGCTGAGGAATTGAATATTCATATTGAAATACTCCTAGCAGGCAAACATTTGCTGATATCTTACCAAACGTTTGATCGCTGCTCAGGCTTTCCAGATCCGTCTCATCCTTAGTATTCTTAAACAATGATATGTCCGAGTCGCAGTCGATGCCCAGCCAATTTTCCGCATTGTGTATATTAATGAGATCCCGTATTAGCTCGTCGTCCGTCTTGCCCCCAATGTCTCCACCGCGGCCTTTCAGAGGACCGAACACCTCATGGTTATACAAGGGATCATTAAGTATAGGAAAGCCTTTGAGAGTGGAAGAATTCATTTCTATAGGATATACATATATATTTTTCTGAATTCTATACCTAAATATTGCAGGTGAACACGAATTTGATGCATTCGTCCTGTGAGCGGCTTGCAGAGCACCACGCTGGTTTTTCCATTCTGGGATAGCTTCTGGAAGGTTGTGGTGCAATCTTTGCCCTTCTGAGAGACCTTACATACGCCTATCTTGTAGCTGACCACCTCGATGGGCTCCTTGCATTCCACGACACCGCTGATAAATGCAATTGAAATTTCTTAACCCAACTACCATGATCTGGGCATAGATGTGTACTCACTCTGGAAAAATGCCCTCCACTCGACAGATGTATTCCTTCTCCACTTGTCTGTTGCGTATCTGCTGCTCCATTTGGCGCGCCTTCTTCGGACTGCGGCCGAACAAGAGCAGTCCGGACGTAAGCCGATCCAGCCGATGAATTGTGCGTAGGTTCTTCAGATTGAATTCCTTAGCGAGTATAAAGACTACAGTATTATGCCTGTACCGCCCACATGGATGCACCTATTCAGAATATTCGTGAGTTAGTATAACGTCAACCAGTTAATTTCCTTAAATGGTTTGTTAGTTGTAAATTTGATGACGGATCTAGCTTAATTTATTGTTATATAGATTCATAGATTCATAGAAACGCATAATCAATTGTAATATGGCAGTCGTTTAAGCCACTTACTGGTATAGAGGCTGGCTTATTAACAACCACAATGTCCTCATCCATATGCACTATTGTGATTGGTTGGCAAGTGACGGGTACTTCGTGTCTGCAAAGATATATTCATGAGTGCGCACATTTAGTTAGATGTATGTAACCATTCAGTGCTTTCAATGCAACTACTGTTCACGTCCTCTTAAATTAAGTCGTATTAATGAGAAACAAACAAGGCTAGATCTGCCATATGGGGTAACTCAACTAGTTGATATTCTATAGCCATAGATGTAGATAAAACACAAATTAATTACAAGTCTTTATATATTATTTATTGTTAAATGAGGCGCCAACAAATTGTGATAAAATTGATTAACCATAATTTGACTATATATTATTTTATTACAGATAAGTAAATTCCATTACCAAGGAATACGACTATACCTTTCTAAATATTGAATGGCTTTAACTTCTGTCGGTTTTAAAATGGGTACGACTTTATGTAAATAAATCCAAGAGATCTAGATCTGTTTAAACTATGTACTAAATTTAATTTGAAACGGGAATTGTCATTGTTCCTTTGGGTTTACAAGTATGCAAATAATGTATGTTGCTTAATTGAATATTTATACAAGTTAGATCTGGTTTTCCAAAAGTTACATTATCAGAAAAATGTAGTCTTTTAAATAATATTGCCTATAGATTTTGTGGTAAACAAGCAACTGCTATTTGCCTATTGTATATCATATAAATGAGACTTTTAAAAGTGCAGATCAACTGCTCTGCGAAGATTCTCTGATTTTTGTATTCTTTAAAAAAACCTTTGGAAAATTTGAGAAATTTTTGGGATAGGCTTATTTTTGTATTTTTTTTTATGCACAGCAATTGCCCTTTATGATATTAAGGGAATGTAGTGGCAGACAAAATGAGGTTGTTGGTGGAAAGGTGGTTAAATTTGTAAAATATTTAGTGTAGTGAGTCATAGCCCAGGACAGAAGGTCTAAAGGATGTAATCACTTCAGTCGTGGTACGTGGGTGGACAGTTAAGTAATTTTGATGAGACTCTAGCCCATTTGGGTGTTTAGTGCTACGTTATGAGATGTATTCAATATGAATAAGTAGCGTAATAAACTTAGATTGACATGAAATTTGTTCAAATTTGTTGTACAAACTAGGTTAAATATATTTGATTACTGACGGTAATGCGTCTCTTTCTATGCACAATAATACTACAGGGTATATTGTTCAACGGCCTATAAGGATATTTAGTTTTCATCAGATATTATTTTTAGTTTCTTCTAAGAAAATAAACATAGTTGTCCACAAACATTGGGAAATCGGTAAACAGATTTGGCTCGATCAACTTTTGTATCTGTGCTGCATTTGCTGCCACCATTTTATGTGCACTGCATAGTTGGGCAAATGGTTGGCTAAATACGTATATATACATATATATATAATACAAATTGAGAATGCTGCAGTCGATAGAGTGAGTAATTTATACGATGATCAACATCAAATATGCTCTGTTGTAGTAGTTGTTGTTGTTTTTAGAAGCAAGTCGATTAAGTAAAGAAAACTTCACAAGATTGATGACAATGAAGTTATTTGATTAATCGGCATTTCATATGCCCATATTTAGACAACACTTTACAGAGGCGAGTTGTGTTCAATGAATATTCAAGTCATTGGCTTACCTGTGCACAATGTTGGCCAATAGATCATTGTGTTTCAGCCGGTAGTCAATGGGCACCTTTTCGAAGTTAACGGTCAGGGTGCCGGTCTGTATGCAGCGCTCATATTCCTCAGCTGGATGTGCGCGAAACTCCTTGGAGAATATATCCAATATCTTCTCGCCCACCCAGCGGCCCTTCGTAAAGGTCGTGAAGGTGAAGTAATATGGATACACCTTGCGTAGACCTATGACCAGACACAAATCTTGATTGGGCTCTTGCAGTCGTTTTTTGTTTACCCACCATTTTCGATATAGTATGAGGTTTCCTGGTATCTTTCATCAGTGAATCCAGGTCTTTTGGCCTTCAAGGCCTTTGTCTCCAACTTTGCCTTTAATTATATAGTTGAGCATGAACTGTAATTCCCTGACAACTTTCGCGCTTGCTTACCTTTTTCAAATCTTTAATTTGTTCCGTGTCCTCGGTTTTTCGCTTCTCGGGTATTTTTACCTTTTGCTTTTCCAGCTCGCTAACGTTTGTCAGCTAAAAGTAGAAGGCAAAAAAACTTTGTTGATTAGCTTGCAATAGTCAATTTGTAAATTAACTATAAATAGTCGGAATGAGCTCACTGGGATTAGGAGAACTCAGGCGCACCCTAAATTTGCGTATGGTTTTGGCCTAAACAGAAATTTGACTTCTAATGCAGGCAAGATCAAGTGTTTGCCCAGATTTCATTTGAAGATTCATTTGACGTAGGAATTTCAACTCAGCAACGCGTCTTTCCCACCCATCACAACCCATTACGAATTGTATTTGTTTCTAAATTTACATTTTTGGTGTCTGGCATTTTGTGTGTGTTTTATCTGACCATAATTTGATCGAAGCATATGACTGAAATGTGAATGCTCAAGTGGTCTGCCGAGCACTAATTCCACTTTGCTACGACACGAATTATTTACCACGAAATATACGGGCATAAAGCTATTCTATTCCACAATGCACATGCACATGCACATGCATATGAATATGCATATGGACAGAGAGTGCAACTGTATGCCATTTGGAATAGATACTTGCATTTCAGTTAGTTCTTGTGTCTCTTTCGTCGACTCCGATGAGTGACTGTCTGGTTGGCTGGCTGGCTAGCTGGCTGGCTGGCTGCCTGTCCTTTGTCTTTTGTCTGTGCTTTCATTGGCAGCGCGCCCAACAAATGATACAAACTAGCAGCATGCCCAAAACGAGAAGAGTCGAGCACGACGATTACAGTCGAGCTTAAGCGACGGCATAATACTCGATCAAAAATATTAATAGTAAGACACTTTATTTGAAACTTATTTAGATATATCTAATTTCGTTTTGCTGGTCGATCGTTGACAGTTATGGTAGCTCTTAGGCTTTAAAAGTAATCTATGGAGGAAGCTAATAGTAACCCAAAGTAATTTAAAGTAAATAGTAGACACAAATCTAAACCTTTGCTGTCATTTCTAATATAGTTCCAAATTTTTTAAGATACTAACTGAACTTTCTATAACAGCGAATTCAATCAAATGTTTTTATTCAAAAATACCATCTCACAATTTTCTTTCTTATACACCTTTACACTAAATAGTTCTTCACCAACGCTTGTCAAAAAGTGTTTTTTTTTTAAATTAAATTAAATTAAATTATAAATTCAAAGTTATGTAGTACTATTTATTCATACGGATAGAAAAGGCTGTTCAACAAATCCAAATATACTCTTTTTTTTTACCAGGTGACCCAGTATGAAAAATCAAAATAAAACTATGCGGGAGGGCATCGGACTGCGGTAGCTGTAGGGAGACCAGACTCTGTCTGACTCTGATTCTGACACCGACGGCCTGTCGGTCAATTTCCCTTAAGCAGCATCTTTACGCGAGTTGAAGATGCCGTCTCCACATGTGCAGAGCGTGTAACAAATGCACAATATCCATCCCAGCAGCCCCATAGACAAAAGATTCACACGAAAATCTCTTGGATTTTTGGCAGCTTAGTTTAAATTTAGATGTGACTTCATGTTGTATTAAACTGTGACCAAAGAAACGCTCTAGTTAGGCATACAATTTGAAAGTATTCTAATTAATAGAACACGCTATTATTATGTTTCCTAATAATCAATAATCATTTATGTTCGTATAGAATAAAATGAGCAGAATATGAATGAAATGTTTGAACTCTGCCCACTCACACACACACACATACACGTTTATATCTGGTGAGGCTGTGTATATTGTAGCGCTCTACTCATCCATGAGATGATGTTCATATAGAAAGACTTTATAAATTAATTGAATCATTCAACGGCAGAGACCTGTTGCCAGAGATCTTGGCAAGCGACCATTCACATGTGCTTACGCACATAYATATTCGCATATATGTGTATGTATGTATATGTGTATACATATATGTATGATTGTCTGCATGTACATTGGATGCTCCTGGGTTCGGTAGACGATTCCTATATTGTTCCAAGCGAACGCACGACGCGACGCGACGCGACGCGGCCAGCAGTCACAGCTAATATTTATGAATACACCCACTGTGAAACGAAGATAGAGCAACACGTATATGCGTATATGTATGTACACTATGTAGTATGTATGTATGTGTATATATTCGCAGGCGACACAATCTTTCTACACTTGATTGCGCAAGGCGCTAAAAACGGGCGTGTGGCTAAAGCAAAATGCGTGTGCGGCAGCTGGAAGCGAGGAAAAAACATAATAGTGAAATGGAAAAAGAAAACAAAATATATGGACACACGTGACCACGTGCTGATTTTAATTATCAACTTTTCAAGAGCATTGCGTGGTCCATGCTAATGTGGAAATAGATGGCTAAACATCTTCAGCTAAACGTCAGCTGCTGCCGGAGAACGTCTCCCAGAACCGGATTATGTGGAATCCTGCTATTAATTAGAGCGCTTATTATGTCCACACCGACTTCTACTTGAGTGCATTGGATCTCCAGCTGCTTAGCTAACCATATCTGATTGACAACGTCCAGTTGCTATAAAAGCAAAGTTGCGTTAATACTGTAAATTCTAGTTCTGCACTGCAACAAAAAATCTGGCTAAAACAATCAGGCTGCATTGCATGAGACCTCATTTAGCGATTTCTTTGATAGTTCAGCCTGAGAATTGTCTTTAGTTTAATACAATGGAAAACCTAAAAGATTGTACTTATTTGTGTCGACTCATCGTTCAGAATTGTACTTTAATTATTTTTTCAAATCTTTCGTGCCATAAGGCTGCTTATATAAATATTCATTGCGTATTTCATTTTATAGTTAATTTCCGAACATAATTGTTTTTATGACAACGGAAGAGATTTACAAATAATAGTCGACAGCTGCCAGTGATGGATAGCCAGACTGATAGACTGATAGATACCTTGATGTTCTTGTATATATGCATGTATGTGTGTATTCTATATCTGTGACATTTTCTTACATGCAAATGCTTTTGCCTCTCAAATTCGATGTATTACTGAACATGTTCGGTTTATTTTTCGGTTTTCTTGAAATGTTCAGCACATGAATATGAAAGCAATATTTGTCAGAATTCTAATTTTGTAATAATAACAAGTAACAGTATTTCTGAATGAAACATTGTTATTTTTGTAGTTAGTTGATGAGTCTGACGCAAATTAAACTCGAAATATTTGAAGACATAGTTTTCTCCGATTGTTTCTTTTACTTTTCCTTTTTCCTATTTGAGAAGTCCCCAATTGGGCTGAAAATGTAAATTGTTTCGAATCTAAACCGGAAATTCGTAAAAAATATTTAATATTACAATGAACAAATAATTACATGCAGAATTGAAGAATTATTGATAATAAAACAGACTTGATCTGCCCATTCCATAGACTTTCATGGCTATATCGATCGCTTGATCGAAGTTCCACTACCTCGATGCATTCAATGCAGGAATAGCATGATGCTCTTTTTTCTGATTTTTAACATAAACAAAAGAGCCAAAATCAACTTAAAATCTTTAATATTTGCTTCAATCAATAGTTACAAATTGACTTTATTTGTTTTCTTTAGCGTGCGGGAAAATAGGAAGCCATGTTTACAAAACATTTAATGTTTATCTGCATGCATACAATAATTACTCATAAATTGCAAAAACTACATCCATCATTCCATATCAGTTGTTCTAGGGAGAGATAATCAAATTGATATAAATAATCAAAAATCGAATTTTTACTACCTCAACACATTGAAAATACCTTAAAGCAAAACCAAAATAAAATTTTATTGAATTCAAAATAAAGCTTTGAGTGTTTTATGGAGAGTGTGATTGAAATGGGTGAGTGTAACCCTTAAAGAGGTTTTGATGTTAGTTTATGAGCAGAAATGTTTAATAAGAAACAAATGTGATTCTGCACATTTCATTTGATAGATAATCTCAGCAATAAATTTCACTTTTTGTCCTATGTTTGACACGCAGAATAATAATAAAACGGAATAAAAAACTAAAAATAAAAAATTCAGTGTGGATAAAGAGCGTTGCCAAATATATAGTCAGAAATATTTTAAAATATGTGAAATTTAATTTTTGATTACAAAAACAATTTGAGTTTTCACTAGTGGAACACTAGAATATATATAGACTTGTATATAGGAAGTAGCTTGAAGTGGGGCTCTCACTAACAACTTACTTGATTTTTTATCACTATGCTCTGTATACTCTACGGTAACTAGACTTAGTAGCCGTCTTTTTCCCAGTTCCAAATGTAGGAAATGTAATAGAGATAGAAATATTCGAATACCTCTCAGTTTGTAACTGCAACTCTATTCCAACTTATGACCTTAACAACATTTTCTTTTGTCTTCAGTTTCAATAGCTAACAGAGGCGGCAATGAAAGCGTAGTACCCGGCTGCAAGGAGAGTATGAAAGACAGCTTGTCGTTCGGCTGCTTAGAGCGCTCTGCGGCTCAACTTGTTTTCAAGGGCCAGTCGTAAGCAAATATATCTCTCGGCTAAGCTGAACATGCGTATTATGAATATATGTATATATATTTTTGTTTTGTAAAGAAGACAAACACAAGCGGCCGAAGAGGGGAGCTGAGAGCGGAGAGCGGAGAGAGGAAGGCGGGCTGTCTACTTTATGGGCTATTTGGGAAACCTTGACCAACTCGTAGAAACCTATGCAATTCAAAAGACTGTGGAAATCGTTGTGGAACATGAAAAACACCAACACCAACAGCAGCAACGGCAGCGGCAGCAACGGCAGCATGCGTACCGATGCGGAAAATCTGAAAGGTCTTTATTATTATGGCAATAGCCGAGCAAAGCAATCGCACAAGGAGATTGCGGATTGTCGGTTTTCAAAAATAGTATTAGTATAGTATTTATTTATTTATTAAACAGAAAACGCATAATTACTTTTGTTTTTTATGATATCATCTTACTAATTTGTTGCCCCACACACCGTCGTCGAGTCGAGTAAACTCAGGTATTTAGCAATTATAGAAAACAGCGAACGACGAACAAGTAGAAGCGCCTCACACACAGATATTACATACAAATACTTATACGAATATATACTATAGAGATCGTAATAAGCAATTTCTGATTACAATCGCGCTGTCGTTACATGGCTGCTAAAGTGAATGTCCAAACATTATTGCTCGACGGCTTGTTGACTGTCTGTCTGGTTGTCTGAGAGGCTTTCATGATGCAGTTTTGTCATAATAATGAGCCAAAGTCAATTTGAGATCACTTAAGATCTCTGTATATATATATAYGCTCAACACTCGATCTGCTGGATAATACACACGTATCGACCCGTATTTGTCTGCGAAGTATTGCTTGTTTTCGTCTGTACATCCGCTAGACAATTGTTTTTCTTTCCGACGTTGGCTGTTGAAATTCGAATGTACTTTTCTTTTTTTTTTTTTTAAATTAATTTCGATTAATTCTCATGCCTATTTAAATAGTTTACTAAGCAGCAGCAAATAAATCAAGCTGGCCTAAACAAAACAGGCTGTATGTAATATAATTAAGTTGTAAATAAGATATTGCTTATTCTCGTGCTTTAGTAAACAGCATATTTGGAAACACTAAAGAGTTTTCCATATAATGCCCATTTTCCAAAGAAAACTACTTATATATACTCAAGGTAAAGAAACATAGAAATGTGTATTATGTAGAAGTGAACAATTAAAATAAAGTAATTTAATACATCCGTAAATATACAGAAGATCTTTGAGCAAAGCTCTTTCAAATCAAACATATTATATATAGGTGTGTCACATTGAAGAGAATAATGGAAGTAAGATAACTGAGAAGAAAATAAATTTATATAGTAGTATTAGTATTAGTTGAAATATTAAAATGTTTTTCATATTACTATTATTATTATTAATATTTTTAATAAAAGATCTTGTATCCAGTTATTTAAGATAAAGATTTCATCAATAGATTAGGAACAGAAGAGAAAACACAGATGCTATTTTTTCTAATCATATATATAGTAAAAAAGATTTATTCATTTATACTATGTGTATTGTATATATGTATTAAAAAACTATAGAGAGTATACAAAAATCCATTTCAGCGAAAATATATTTAACTTTTAACTTTTTTAATTATAATTTGATAATGATGATAATAAATATTAAATCGATTCGTAGCAGCAACAAGAGATATAGAAAAATTCTTATATTAAATTCTTCACAAAAAAAGAAAATATTTAAAAAATTTTATACGTTCAGTATAGTTGGAAATTCATAAGAAAAATCTTAGCAAAAATAACACCTTCCAGTCTAATTAAATAATTATTTTTTACTGCAACAACGTGCACAGACAAGCATCTATAGTAGCGATTCTGAATAAATTAAGTGAAGATGGAAATTGAGTAGGCAAATCTATATAAATAAATACATATATGTATGTGTATGTGTACATATCCATGTTAAACTGAAAAAAGCTGTATACTCATCTATCGAACAATGCTTAGATGGCTACACAAACTAACGATAAATCATTTATGAAAGGTGGCTAAAGATGAGCTCACAATAAATCTACATATTTATGTAATGCATGCATTGCACATGCTTATCTATACATAGGTATAGATAGATACATATGTACATGAACCCACATGTATGTAACATACATACAGACATATGTACTGGCTTACTTATGGTTCAAGAGCACGGCTCATTTCAACGTAAACAGCAGCTGCTCAGCCGGCTCTCAGGCACTGACATCAATTGTCTCTCGATGACCTTCGCGTAAGTGCTTGATTGCAGGTGGCTTTCCGTCCGTCCGTCCGCCCGCCTGCTTGCCGGCTTGTCTCTCTATCTCTCTCATTGGCAATCAGAAATCATGACACGCCGTTTAGGAGACCAGTTTGATCAAAATGCTCAGTTGAGTTTTAAAGTAGCATTCGATCATATTGTACACAGTTCAAACTTAACTTTGGCAATCATTAGACTTATATGAATAGGGAAATTTACTTTAATACTCTGTTCATTTCAAGAGCATAAGTACTTCTGGATAGGACGGAAGAGTATAAATACTGTCTTGCGAATCTAGGCACCTGAAGGTGAAATTAAAAATCTTGTTTTCCACGTAGACCCATTTAAAATATGATGTACTTTTGTTATTTCATAAAAGAGCTATGCAAATTTCTGTAATTTGTTGTCTATTTTCTCACATATAGTTATTATGTAATACTATCACATATAAATATTATGTAATACTATCAATCTGTCGTCTCCAATTCTATTTCAGGATAAAAGAACTTTAGAAAAGATTTATATAGATTTTATAGATTTATAGATTTTATATATTTCTAAAAATAATCATAGAGGCATAATTCAAATTTCTATTGCAAATCTGCAGAGCATTGCTCCTTCGATCACAGCCGACTGAAGGATTCGCACTTTTTGCTTTGACTCACCTTTCTGTTAATTGTTAGAGACGTTGGGTTTGGTAGCGCTTTGATGGATGTGAGTCCGGCGGCGGCGGCGGCAGCTCCATGATTTCTCAGGGCCATCACGTTGCCCAGGTTTAGATTAATGGAAGAGAGATGCTGCAGATCCTGAGGCATGCAATTCAATGGCTGCACCAGCGCACACGCGGGCGGCGGTGCTGGGCGCGGCACCGACACGGATACGGGCACCTGTACGGGCATTTGGACCGGCACTTGGACCGGCGGCGACTGCGGCATGCCCGTTGAGCCGGCTACGGTGGCAGCAGCCAGCAGAGCCTGCTGGGCCGACAATGGAACGCCACCAAAGGCGGCGACAGCGTTGGCATGATTTGCTCCTGCAGCAGCCGCCGCTGCTGCTGCGGCCGAATAGTAGGCGCTCAGCGAAAGTGGCGGGAACATGGAGGACTGCAGCAGATGCGTCTGCGAGTGGCTGTGCGTCGGATGAGGCTGTCCTGCATAGCTGCTCGTCTGGCCAGCAGCATTAAGCAGCGGCTGATTGAAATTGTAGCCAGGCGCCAAGGGAAAATGGGTGCCGGCGCTTGGATGCAGCGCGGGTTGCTGATAGTTTGGGGGTGGAGCTGCTGCAGTATTCGGTGAATGCTGCTGCGGCTGTTGCTGGAGCAGATGCTGCTGCTGCTGATGTTGCTGCTGTTGTTGTTGCTGCTGTTGCTGTTGCTGCTGCTGCGGCTGCGGCTGATGCAATTGCGGTTGTGCAGCGTACAGCGCACCTGGCGGCACCTTGTCCGCGAAGGGCGTCTGCATGGCCAGCAGCTTGTGATGATGCTGCTGAGCGGCCAAGCTCCAAGGCAAGTACCAGGCACACGAGGAAGATGTATTGTGCATACTGCGGCTTTTCTTTTATTTTTATTTAAATATTATTTGATTATATTTGCTTTTTCTATATCACGCACAAGCTTTGCTTTAATTGCTATTGCTTATGGTCTTTTGATTTGCATAATAAATTACATAATTTCAATAGAAATCACCTTTTCCTTACTGCTTCGCTTCTCTTGCTGTTTTATCAAAATTCAGTTTATTTTCAAAATACGTGTTCATTGTTTACGTTCTGCTGCTTACAGGTGCATATGTGTAGTTGCTATAAAGCTGTGTTTCTTATGTGTATCTCGCTATATATATACTTGTTTATCTATCTATATGTACATATATCTATCCATATATACACAGAAGATCAATTCAGCTCCGTCTGCCACTTTCGACGCGTTTATTTGAAATTTGGAAGCTGAATTTACTTTGCGTTTACTTTTGTTTGGTTTATCTGTTCACAAGTCGCTGCGATTTCGTGCCTTGCACAATGGGATAAATATTATTAATATGGCTAAAAAGTACAAATATTTACACCTATTTCAAATTCAATTTAATTAAAAGCTGTCGTTTTCCGTAGTCAGGAATAAAGTTTAGAAAAACGAATTCTGAGTCCATTATTGCGAGTCAATTAATCGAAACTAGTTTATCATAATCTGTAATAAGAAAAGAAAGAAGAAGATTCACATTTCATGATGCAGTCGATGCTAAATAATCACAGCCTGGAACTAGACTCTCAAAAGCCAACTTCCGATCAAGGCATTTACTTAAGGAACCGAATCAACGAAACTTTTCCTATATGTCGCACACATGCACACATGCATACACACATGCAAAAGTGTGAGCGGAATCAGAAGACAGTGCTGATTTGTAAATTTGTTGTTATTGTTAGCGACGCACTGTCAAAATGTACCCCAAAGCATTCACACAGACCCACACACACGCACACACACACGCGACAAGCTCAACCACGAATATGACCGGGTCCCACATACTATGTACATACATGCACACACACACTCACACACATTCAGACAAACTACCTGTCTTGAAGGCAAGACAAAAGTTGTGCACTTGTTTATCGTGCAATAAATGAAAATGGAATGGAACAATGGCTAGAAAAGCCACTAAATATAGCGTAATGGATTTTAAATGCACATTCGACATCTGACGGCTAGCTGATAGCTGATGGTTTTTTTTTCCTTATTTTTATACCCTGAACCCATTTTCAATGGGAAATCAGGGTATAATGGTTTTGTTGAAATGTATGTAACAGGGAGAAGGAGGCGTGRCAGACSCCWCRAAGTATATATATTMWTGATCAGKGTGACGAGCTGAGTTGATTTGGCCCTGTCCGTCTGTCTGTCCGTCTGTCCGTCTGTCCGTCTGTCCGTCTGTCCGTCTGTCCGTATGTATGAACGCGTCGATTTCAGAAGATATAAGAGCTAGAGACTTCAAATTTTTNGTGTGTGTGTGTGTATGTGTGTCTGTATGCGTGTGTGTGTATGTATGCCTGTGTGTGCGTACGTGCCTGTGTGTGTGTGTGCGTGTTTCTTGTGTAAGCTGAAAGACGCGAAAAATTATTGAAATATCTATTGCTCCAAGGGTTCAGGGGATCTCGTAGTCGAGCAGTCTCGACTAGAGCTTTCTTACTTGTTTATTTTGGCTGATGGACGACTGGGTTGCCAGCCTTTCAGTCTTTCCGTCTTTCTGCCTGCCTGCCTGCCAAATAGTGTAAATAGAAATTTTATGCTTGCGCGCACCCAGTTCCACGTGCACAGTATATACATTGTACAAAGAGACGTTTAGGAAATATGAATATCATTGAATGTTGGGTATATCAATAGAATCGAATTAGTGTACACAAGGTGGTACACGCGAAGTAAGTGGAACATGGCTCGAAATAAATGAGCTGTAACAGAAATATTTAACAGATTTTTACAACTTCTATGAATATGTAGTAGTAGTATATCATTTATTTGCTCGTATTTATAGGAGTACAAATTAAAGCAAAACCTTTCAATATAATAATTTGTTTCAAACATTCTTTATAAAACTTTCAGTACAATAATTTAATAAATAATACCAATATACAATCCAACTATTTTCTTGAGTTTACGCAAATCAAAAATGTAATAGTCCCTATGATTTACTATTTCTTTTCTATAATTATTATTATTTTACTTTTCAATCCCTTACACTGATATATTTACAAATTAACAAGGATGCATACTTTTTTCATATGCTTGTTTTTTATAGTTTCGAAAAAGTGGAATTCTCAATTAAAATTATATCGCTCATGACACATAAAAAGCGGTGTTGCTTATCGCTCAATCGTTAGTTAAGATGATGGCGCCCCACTCTATACGCACTCCTTTGGAACCACCCCTGCCACCCACCCATTCGCTCGGCCCGGGGCGAGCAGCTGTTGCTATCTGTTCCTCAAGTGTGCGACGGCTGTGAATTTATTTACTAATGTATTTTATATTTTTTTCGGGGCTTTGTGCTAAAATAAGTCTGATGTATTACTAGGTTTGCCCCACACACACACATACTTACGAGCACACAAACACATAAATACTAGCTCACACAAAGAAATGGCCGCAAATTATTTAAAATTTGTTTCATTTTTCGGCTATACAGTATGTACTATGTACGAGCATGTTTATGTGTGCTAATTTTTGTTATTTTCTTGTTTTTTTTGTTTTGTTTCTTTTCTGTGATCTTCGTATTTTAGTGTTGTTTGATCATACAATGACAAGATGGTGTCTGTATTACGAGTATCTTGCATAGATATTCACGAGCTTATATAATTAACAAAGGATTACCCAATAAAAATGTCAAATGGATCGCATAACCTGCTCATGGCATATAAAACAGATACAAATTCAAAACCAAGTGATATTCAAATATATCGCGCGCATTCAGAATTCCTCGAAAGAACGGACTGCTTCCGAAATTCAAAATATAAATATATTTCAATTGTCTTTTGAAAATATTTATTCTCTATGTATAAAGCTATGTACATAAACATACATACATATATATTTGTTGTCCTGAATAACCAAACACGCCAAGTGAAGATTAGGTAACTGCATGTGCGGCTCTTCTCTTGACGTTTGATGATGATTAAAGGCCATGCGTTGCGTAGGGCCTGACTACTGAAATTACTTATGATATATACTATGCCATACTCTACTATATATGTATATGTGTATATATTTCAAACGTCACCTCTCTAACTAAGAAGACATGCCAACCAACAGAAATATTTTGAATAGAAAATATACAATTTTTCAGAAACAAAAACTATTTGCGTACGTAAAAATGGACGATGTTAGAGACTACGGCAATGGCGCATATTTTTGGTACAGAGCCATGCACGGGCACACACACACACACATACTAGCAAAGGAAAATATTCTAAAAACGTTGTCCTCAAATAGCTTTGCTCATACACACTCCTTCTATTTAGTCGCTTGTCAAATGTCTAAACATGCTTATTATAATTATAATGAGAGATATGTATGTAGATCGTTGCAACGGCATATAAGATCAAATGTCAGATTGAATGTATAATTCCTACAGAACAGTCACTCAGATAATAATAAAAGCTGTTACTAAAACAAATTTATTTGTACTACTAACTAACAAGTAATCAGCAAAATGATTGATTTGGTACCAAAGGTCGAGGATATTCAAAAATGTTTGAAAATTTAGCAGATCACATAAATTATTAATTGCTGTAGGCTTTGCAGTACGTTTACAATGATCAACACTCATAATGTAGATTGTTTTTATGTGCACGTTCATAAACGCCTTTATTACATTATTATCATAAGGCTTTTGAAATTACATCACTTTATATTAAGTTGCATTACTTTGATTATCTGATAACGAATGTGACCTGGCGCCGGAGTTGTAGTTATTACCACGCAAAAACCTAAAACGGAACGGGTTTTATTCACATCAATATATGTATATTGATATATACACGTATATAAAGATATATAGTCAAGTTGCGCGACACGCCCGCACACTGAGCCCCCGTTTAATAGGTACCCAGATTGTAAGCCATCAATGTCGTTGTTTAGGTGTACGAGCGTCGGCGTTTTTCAATAATATCGTCGCACACACGTTTTAATATCTTAAGAGCGGATGCCAAACACGCGACAACCTCTGCACTGGCTGAAAGCAAGCGGCCGACTGATTGGAGCAGCCCCAATCGTGGACTGTAAACAGAGCGTCCGCCTGCCGATTTGTTTCTGTGGGTTGCACTACTTTTAAATTTAAATTGCGCGGGCTCTGTTAAACTTAACATTATGTTATCTTAGCTAGAGAAGGAGAGAGAGAGATAGATAGATAGAGAGAGAAGGACAGAGAGAGAAAGAAGGAAAGAGAGAGAGAGAGAGAGAGAGTGAAGCAGGCTCTGGCTCTCTTCGAAATTGTATGCTAAAAGCTAATTAATTAAGTTGTTATTTACGCAACAATAAAACATATGTTGATGATGTTTGCTTCTTGTTTAAATTTAATTAATATAATTTGTAATGGGCAGAAAAGATTTTGAAGAAAGGATTAAGGGAGAAAATTTGTTATTATTTGCGTACATCTTATCTATTATCTACTCTTTATTAT